GTTTTATGAAAAAATTAGTGAAACATCTCTCTCTAACTTTGTGTAGTAGGAGATGTTCAAGTTGTTTTTTTTTTATTATTAGTTAAGGTCTCTCGATGAAATTTCTCTGTATCGGGACCGAAATTTCTCTGAATCAAATTTTTTATGTGAAAATGTTGAGGAACCTTAACTACTATGAAAATATTATATGTCATTTATCTTATAAAGTCTTAATCCCGAAGACCTTAAAAAAAATTCTCCTAGTTTTATGTATAGTTATTATTTGAATTATAAATAATATATATATATATATATTATAGAGCAAATTTGTGAAAAGTCCAATTTAAAGAGGGTTTAATGTATTAGATTCAAGGTAAAAATCTTATTTGATGATAAGGATATGTCGAAAAGTCACCGGTGCCCGAAAAAAGTCAGCAAAAAATTTCGTCAGTGATAGAAAATTGGCCAAAAAACTTGGCGACGATGACCCGCAGCATCAAGTAGTAGTGGTGAGGTAGAGAAATGTGTGATGTTCAACAGATAGGGTGTTGAATGAGTGGCATGTATCACATTTCAATAGATAAGTAATTTGATGAATTTCAACAGATAAAAAATTAAGTTTGGTGAATTTTAACAAATAGACAAATTAAGTGATTTCAAGAGATAAACAAATAGGTTGATTTTAACAGATTGTTATCTTTTTAGACAAATTATATTATTTTAACCCAAAAAAATTAGAACTTGAGCCTAATAACCTAACAGATTAAGAAATGGACTTATAACTTGAATGTCTTATTTTATATTATTTTATGCGACATCAAAATCACATCACACGCTACATCATCGTAAGAGTTTCTTTGGAGAATGATTTATGTATTTTTATTTTTATTTTTTTTTAATTAAAATAGCTAAAAACTCAAATTTCACATCTCTCATACTTTTTTTACCAGTCTTTTTACACGTCTTCTGTAAGTTATTTGGGGCTACAATATCAGTGAATTCAAAGTCAAAAAAAAAAATAATAATAATAATAAATTATAGCTTTTTATTATTTGGAAGATTCTAATATATGGGTGATCCCATACAAGTTTAAGAAATAATGAAAAAATTATCAATAAGTTATTTTTTGCTTTTAATATTACTATTTTGTCATATCAAATTCAATTATGAATAATTAAGTCTATTTTTCATAAAATGTTCTTTTTTATTTATTTTCTTTCATAATGGTGTATCTTATATCTTACCCTCCTCATTTAACATGAATAATTTCATAAGTATTTTTAGTTTACTTAAAATTATATATTTTAATTATAAAAATTATGAATATTATATTAAAAAAATCATAAATAACAATTAGATTAAAAGAACTATAATATAAAATTCATCATTTTCTGTTATTAGATAGGATAAGTTACTAGCAAGTCCTAATAGTTTGACTTATTAATTCTCATTAAATCCTATCAATTCGTCACTGAAAATTAATCCTAATAGAATTGTCGCTTAAAAAGCTTTTTTGTGATGATTTTCTAAATTTATTACTAAAAATTGACAATAAACGACTTTTTTGTAACAATTTTTTTAAAAATTATTTCTAAAAATTAATAATTGGTGACATTTTTTTTATTATAAAAACACAACCAATTATAATAAGACCTATTAGGTAATAAGCCCATCTATTAGGACATACATGTAAGTTCTCTTATTTGAAACTATGGGTAAAAAAAATAAAATTGAACAACCCAAAACGGATAAATCTTGTTAAAACTCCATTTATAGAGTAATGAAAAATAATACTTTGATAAATTAATATATTTCTCAATACTTGAGATAATTAATAAATCTTATATTCATACTTTTTTTATGATTTTTTTTTTAATTTCAATAATTAAAAATATTTCTATAATTGAAATTGAAATAAATAAAAATTGTTTACAAAATTTTTTATTCATTTTTTTTAAAAAAAAAAGATAAAATTAGAATAAAATATTCCATTATAAGAAATTTAACTTTTTTAAAAAAATAGAATTTAATTATCCACAATGAAACTTGATAGACTGGATAAATAAGAGTACCTTTTATTTTTATTTATTTTTTATTATGTAAGCCAACTTATACTATTTTTGTTTTTTAAACCCAAATAAATAACATCTACATTTTAGATTGGGCACTCAGGTGTGAATTCTATTTGTCAAATTGTTTGGTCAATAGTCCAAACTTAATTTTTTGGGGGGTTAAAAGAACATGTCATTTGTTCAAAAACTTAATTACATGTTTTTCTGTTCAAATATCATCTATATATTTAAATACACTTATTTGTCTAACTATCTATTAAAATGTCCAACTATATGTTCAAATTTTTCACTATTTTATACATGTATCACCTATCTATTTAATATCATCTATCTGTTCAACTCACTGTCATCAACTGCTGTCACCACCGGCTACCATCCACTAGTGACTTTTTAGTGACTTTTGGGGCCAATTTTCCAATGAATTTCCGACAACAACAACTTTTCAACCCTAGTCCTTCTCACGATATAAGATTAATCTTTGAACTTAATGCACAACACACCCCTCAACTTGGATTTACTAGTACTTTTTCAGTTTAGATTTGGTTAATATAAAATTATTATAAAGATTTTTTTAAAAAAAGAAATAATATATAATTTTGTAAATTACACTTTGCCCCCTTTATGTTTGGTCACTTTCCTAAGTTTCAAGCTTTTCCCATTTTAATCCTAAAGTTAATTTCTATTAAAAATTAAACTGAAAGTGACACATGGATAATCACGTGATATAAAAATATTTTATTATATATTACTCACAATTTTTACATAAACCTAAACTCAAATATAATAATATATTTTTTATATTATGTGATAGTTATTCTGGCATTTTTTATATAATTTTGAACATAAGTTAGTTTTACAAGTAAACTAGGAAAAAATTGAAGTATGAAAGGCCAAAGTGGAAAAAAAGAAAAATATTAAGAGTCAAAGTAAAAAAGTAACCAAATGTAAAAGGAGCAAAATGTAATTTACCCTATTATTAAAGGGCATAATTAGGATTTAAGTGCTTTTTCAAATATGGATCTAATGTCTGGCCACTCCCGTCAAATGCCCTTATGGTTTTATGATGAAAAATACGCCAAAATCTCCTCGGCCCAATATGTTAGTGTATAAAGGACAGTTCAAAATATTTTACTTTCTAAATTCTCTTAGTAACAAACGCTTCTTCTATGAAAGGCATACTAATATTTTTTTTTTCACCTATATATATCGTGTCTACTTTCACTAACCTTTATACCCTAACACCTATTGTTCATCTCACGGAAGTCAAGAACCTAAGAAATCAAAATCCAATTCCAAAAATCCATAAACCAAAATGAAGAAAGAAAGAAAAAATAAAAAAAAGTTTATGAGAAGAAGAAGTTTTTATGCTGATTGTTACAGTGAAAGCAGGTCTGAATTTGGGTCTTAGTTTGATTTTGATGAAAGTAATGGTGGGTGTAGAAACCATATATGATTAAGGAAAGTTTGGTTAAAGGATTGGCCTTATTGATCGAAAATTTGGTAGGATTGGAAGGAATTTGTTAAATTTGTTGATTGTTGTTTATGAAGTTTTCTTCAAATATGTTGAATTATTGTTAATTTGTTATTGAATTGTTGTTGATTTGTTTGTAAACTCGTAGTGATGGAACTTGTAAAACTTCCTTTCATACTTTGTTTTATTGTTACTGATACTCTGTTTAAGAAGACAGTAAAATGTTGCTATGGTAATCAATAATATGTTACTGTGAAACAGAATAACATATTACTAATTGTGAAAAAGAGTAATATGTTATTGTTTATGTCAATTTCAACGGTAATTTTTTTTTTTAACAAATTTTACAATCAACATAGATTTGATTTGATAGATCTTGATGAGAGGATTATAAAAATATTATTTTTATTAAAAGTCAACATTTAAATCAAAAGTTATATTATTTTAAAATTTAAAATATTAAATTACTCGCTAAGAATTATTGGGGTATTTTTTTTAAGGTCCCTGATATTATGATTTTATAGTTAATTTTGTGGATCTCTCCCATTATGAAAAGTGGGAGAGGGACCCTAGACCAATTTTCCCATATTTTAATAATAATAATATTTGTTGGACTTTTAAAAAAAAAATTATATTTATTTTTAAGGGTAAATTACACCAGCAGTCTCTATAGTTTGGGATTTTTGTTACTTTGGTCCCTAACTTTTCAATTGTGAGACATTTGACCCTAAATTTTAAATCTTATTCCAAATAAGGACCATTGAAGATACTATTAGATTTTTCAAAGGCAAATTTGTCAATTTGATAAAATATAAATTAATTTGATAAAAATAAATATCAAAAAATTATTTTTGAATTTTTTAAAACTATTTCTACTTACTAAAGATAAAATTATATAAAATTGATAAATCTTTTAGACATTTATTTTTTTTTACTAAATTAATTTTTATTATGTATTTAGATGATGATCATGTAAAATTAATTTTTAAAAATTAATCATGTAATTTTTATTAATTTTTATCACTTTTATATAATTTTATCTTTGGTGAGTAGAAATAATTTTAAAATATTTTAAAATATTTTTTTGACATTTATTTTTGTTAAATTAATTTATATTTTATTAAATTGACGATTTTGCCCTTGAAATTAAGTAATGGTATGTTCAATCATCTTTATTTGAAACAAAATTCAAAATTCATGGTCAAATGTGTCATAATTAAAAAGTTAGGGATTAAAGTGACACAAGTCTCAAACTATAGGAACTGTTAGTGTAATTTACCCTATTTCTAATGTATTAAAATTTTATTATTACGGAATTTGATCAAACAGTAATGATATAGACCCCACAAAACACAAACTCCATAACTCTTAAAATAATCTAAACTATTTATGTAATTATCAGATACAACTCTTAAAAGAAATTTAAATACTTCAATAATCAATACTTTAATGGGTCATGGGGGCTCTTTTTGCGGGGATGCCAAACATTTTCCTTGATCAAATACCCTTTAATGAATGCATTGATTCACCATTATTATACATTACACTGCTCAACACAAGGCCTAATCTCAAAGCCAGAGAGATGGCTGCTACCCTGAAAATCTCAAGAACTAACGCTCTCTTTCTCTCTCCTCCCCAACTTGTAGGACTTCTCTTCTCCACCACCACCACCTCCACCTCCACCTCCTGGTACAGCCCACCACCACCTCATCACCACCACAACCACCAAGAACAAGACCCAACCTCCTGGTACAGCCCACCACCACCTCATCACCACCACAACCACCAAGAACAAGACCCAATCCTTGCAACCCTTTCTCAGGCTATCAAAAACGCCCCATCAAACCCTCTCGATTCCTCTCTCAAGAAGCTAATCCCTTCCCTCACTTCCCGTCACATAATCAATCTGATCAACACCAACCCACACTCTCTCGACCCACCCTCTCTCCTCTCCTTCTTCAAATGGTTATCTTCTCAACCCCATTTCCGCCACACCGTCCACTCTTACTGCACCATGACCCACTTCCTCAGTGCCCATCAAATGTACTCACAAGCACAGGACCTTATCCAATTCGTCGTCAATCGAAAGGGGAAGGACTCGGCTGCTTCGGTTTTCGCCTCAATTCTCGAAACCAGAGGTACCCATCACTCCAATTTTGTTTTCGATGCTCTTATGAATGCTTACATTGATTGTGGCTTTATCTCTGATGCGATTCAGTGCTTTCGGTTGGTTCGAAAGCATCGAATTCGCATCCCATTTCAACCTTGTGGCCGTCTTCTTGACCTGTTGATGAAGTCGAATTCGCCGTCAGCCTCGTGGGCGTTTTATTCTGAGATTTTGGCTTGTGGGTTTCCTCCAAATGTGTACAATTTTAACATTTTGATGCATAGTTTGTGTAAAGATGGTAAAATTAAGGAAGCCCAATTGATTTTTGATGAAATTGGGAAATGGGGTTTGAGGCCTAGTGTTGTTAGTTTCAATACTTTGATAAATGGGTATTGTAAATTGGGTAATTTGGAGGAAGGGTTCAGGTTGAAGAGGGTTATGGAGGAGAGTAATGTTGCTCCTGATGTCTTTACTTTTAGTGTTTTGATCAATGGCTTGTGTAAGGATAGTAGGTTAGATGATGCAAACCGATTGTTTGATGAAATGTGCGAGAGAGGGTTGGTTCCAAACGATGTTACTTTCACTACTTTAATCAATGGGCACTGCAGGAATGGGAGGATTGGTTTGGCTATGGAAATTTATCAGCAAATGTTGAGGAGCGGTGTGAAACTTGATTTAATTGTGTACAATACACTTATCAATGGCCTTTGCAAGAATGGGGAGCTGCAGGATGCAAGGAACCTCGTTGATGAGATGACTGGGAGGGGTTTGAAGCCTGACAAGATCACATTCACTACACTTATTGATGGATTTTGCAAAGAGGGAGATTTGGATTCGGCTTTAGAAACAAGGAAGGAAATGGTTAAGGAAGGCATTGAGCTTGATAATGTGGCTTTCACAGCCCTAATTTCAGGGCTCTGTAGAGAGGGACGAGTTATCGATGCGGAAAGAACATTGAGGGAGATGTTGAGAAGGGGTATCAGACCCGACGATGCCACATTTACTATGATCATTGACGGGTTCTGTAAGAAGGGGGACGTTAAAATGGGTTTCAGGTTGCTAAAGGAGATGCAGAGTGATGGATATGTACCTGGTGTTGTAACCTATAATGTGCTTATGAATGGGCTATGCAAGCAAGGACAGATGAAAAATGCTAATATGCTCTTGGATGCTATGCTTAATCTTGGGGTGGTTCCTGATGATATTACATACAACATCTTGCTGGAAGGGCATAGCAAGCATGGAAACCCTGAGGATTTTGATAAACTACGCAGTGAGAAAGGGCTTGTTCTTGATTATGCTTCTTATAGTTCATTACTTGGTAAGATTTGATAATATCTCGAAAAGATCATTACAAGACATGACCATGGTGTTTCTACAACAGTAAAAGCCCCAAGTGTGTTGGCTTGTCTGCCTAATGAATTCAAACCTTGAAAATGAGTTTATGGAGACTTCATTAGCTTTGATCTTCTATCTCTCTCTCTTTCTCTGAAAATTGACCTCAACTGCTGAAAGAGTTTAAGCTTGTATAAGAATGTTTTAGCAAAACCTCCATTTGTGATTCTTGCTGCATCTTATGAAATGAGGATCCCATTAAAGTAACTTCATCTCTGGATTACCTTTAGTTTGGAGAGGAAGTTTGCTGAGGCTTTAGTTAATTTAACTCGTTCTTTCTATTTGCTATTACGACCTTGGGGTAATACACTGAGGCTGAGAGTTCAAGCTAGTATATGGATGTTGTGAACTGGGTATTCACACTGTCCAGAAGAATTTTATTGCATTTCATGTACACGAGGATCTTGGCTCTTCAGAGGACAAGTCACTGTTGGCCAGAGTGTTGGTGGACATTGAACCAGAGTGAATGCAGATGATGCCATGTGCATAATGGTCATTTACAGGTTATGATTGAAAGGGATATTAGGATATTTCTAAAGTTGGTCAAGGAGATACAAAATATTGGAACCAATAAATGTGCTTATGACCGAATAGACACGATGCTATCAAATGAAATGACCCAATGGAAGCTAAACTGAAGTTTAGAAAAGGGCAAGATGTATGCAATACATACTTTAGGATATGCTTTTGGAATATGGAAACAGAATGTTATACCGGGAAGGCATTGCAAGTGTTGAAACCTAACAAATACTGGTAACTTATAATAAAATGAGCAAAATGGCTTAATCATGATTATGCTTCTTATTTTTCACGAGTGAGTTAAGCAAACTCGTATGCTGTGTTTAGTTGGTGGATTTGAGAATGGATTTGGAAAGAGAAATGGAAAAGAAATATGAAATGTGAATAAAATATATTTAAATTTTACCTAGTTTCACACACATTTTCTTTTTCTCTTTTCCTTTCCAAATCTCCCAACCAAACACAGCGTTAAAATCAAAATTTCAGAAGAGATGTTTGTTCTATTTTTATTAAAACAATTATGGCTTTTGTTAGCTATATATTTTTTGCAAAATGAGTGAGAGTCAACTAATGATTCTGACTTATTATACTTGTGTTTGTGATCACTTTTCGTTATGAAAGTAAATTGGATATGCCATAATTTATTTGGGATAAATTATTTGGAAAACATAAAACTCTGGTGATAATAATTCTATCATTGTAATGTTGACTACGTGTCAACCACAAAATCAGAGGTTTTAGTTGGGGGTGTTTGAGTTGGGGGAGGGGATTCAGGGCTCAAATCCGCATAATTGACTTTGACTAACTTCTAATACTTGTAGCAGGCTTTTCGTATCTCTATTTGGTTTAAAATTTTTAAAAATAATTGTTGAGTTTTTAATTTATATATATATATATATATATATATTGTTTTTAATGATTTAAAAAAAAATTAATTTTTAACTTTTTAAATTCACTTAATTTAGATACATTTAAAAAAAATAAATTTTATAATTTTTCTTTAAAAAAAATATAAAAAGTTGTTTTTCTTTTTGTATTTATTGAATTTAGTAAAGATTTTTTTATTAATATTTTACTTTTTAAATACATTTAGATTAGGTGCATCTAAACCACCCTTGCTATTGGAAGTGGCTTTTAATCACCCATTATTTGGAGCATCCCCTACTTCAACTTGTATTTGGATTAAGAATTTAATTTAAGAGAGAATTTGTAGAGAGAAAAAGAAAAAAAAAAACTTATATTTCATTAAAAAAAAAATTGTAACTCCTTTTGTCATTCTACAAATCTCATCTCAAATCTCTTATCCGCAACATTATTTTTAAGTTTAAGAGTTAAAATTTCCAGTGTCAAAAAACAAAACAGAATCTCCGTAGTACATGGGGCTTCATGGAGTAAAATACATAAGAGATCTACATTTTCTGCCATATAAGGCTTCATACGGTGCCATGCCAATGTTAGAGTGGAAACTATTATTATATGCAAATTCTGTTAGTGGCAAATAAGTCTCACAACTCCCCTTAATGTCTAAAGCACACATTCTAAGCATATCCTCCAACATTTGGATAGTTCTTTCCATTTGTCCATCGGTTTGCGAATGAAAAGCGGTACTAAATTTTAACTTTGTTCCCATTGCCCTTTGAAGACTCTTCCAAAACCTTGGATCCTTATCCGAAACAATGGATATCGACACTCTATTAAACAAAAAATTTCATCAATGTAAATTGTAGCTAGTCTATAAGCATCATAACTAGTCCTTATAGGTAGAAAATGTATAGATTTAGTTAACCTATCCACAATAACCCAAATAGAGTTCATACTTCTCAGTGTTCGAGGTAGACCGACGATGAAGTCCATGGTTATATGCTCCTACTTCCATTCTCAAATAAGGAGAGATTGAAGTAGCCTTGCCGGTTTTTGTTGTTCAATTTTGACTTGCTGACATTGAAGTCATTTAGATACATACTCTACAATTTCCTTTTTCATATTAGGCCACCAAAAATTTTGTTTCAAAGCCCAATATATTTTGTTATTATCCGGATGCATTGCAAACTTTGACTTGTGAGTTTTTTTCAAAATTCTTGTCTTCAGATCATAAATGTTTCCCTTGAAACTTCAACATTTCATTCTCAACACCGAACCCCGATTTTCAAGCTCAACAAAGAGGATATAATCATTACAATTTTTAGGCTATATCAATTGAGTTCTTATCATTGATCAAGAAATTTTAAATATATATATATATATATAAATCATAACATTTCAGTTTATGATTTAAGATTTATTTATTTATTTATTTATATGATCAGAATGATTTTAAGAATAAAACAAATATTCAACTTTATTTCCATAATGGGGGGTTCAGGTTCGCTTATCGAACAATACGAGTGAAAAATATAAGCCCAGCCCATGACTAATACTAATTTCTACAAATTTTGGACTTATATTACTTTGTGGGCATATAAAATAAATTTTGATAGTTAGTCCACAAATATATATTTGTTTATTTATTTATTTTTTTTCAGGGGAATGAACTTTGGGTGTATTTACACCCAAAAAAATAACTTAGTAAGTTCAATTAAAATTTTAAATTTTAAATTTTTATTATATTTTAATGTAAATTTACTAATACGGATAACACATATTAAATTTTAAAATAAAATATTATTATTTTCATATGGTAGACTCTAATCACTTATACGTGGGGATGTAATCAGTTTGGTATGGTCGGTATTTAGATAAAAAATTTCACCGAACCAATAATGTCGGTTTTATTATTTTAAATACTAATATAGACTGTTGCTCCCATCAAACCGCACCAAACCGGACCGATTACGGTTCAGTTTAGTATATCCAATTCATCCATTTAATAAATAATTTCCGATTCTTAGATTAACAAAAATAAAAACAAAAAAAAAGTTAAAATATACTAATGTTTCAAGAGTAATGAGTTAGAGTTAAAATTATATAGAGTAAGAGTTTATAAGCTTAGGTTATAAAGATGACAAGGTTAATTAATTAAAATTAATAATTTATTATACTTATTAATATCATTATATTATTAGATTATATATATATACATATGTTATATAAATACAATATATGTTGCAGAAGTCAGTTTTCGTTTAGTTTGATACACAAGATGCTTGAATCTATACCGAACCGAAAATAAAAAAAAATTAAATTTAAAAATCGTACAGACCGATTTTTTTAAAAAACTGACCAAATTTAATCGGTTTGGTCGATTTTTTCGATTTTTCTTACATCCCTACTTATACGTATTCTTCATATTCAAATGTTTTCATTTTTTCCCCCATGTTTCAATTATTTTATCTTTTTTTTATTACTCCAAAACTCTGATCCACCCCACCAAAACTCACAATTATCATCAACATCATTATTTCTTATTATGTTGTTACTTGCAAATAGAAGAAAGTTTGAACAAAATCAAATAATTGATGAAAATAATAATTAAAATTATTTTTTAAAGCAACTCATCAAAGAAAACGTAAATATTCACATAAATATTAAAAGTACAATTCTTGATTTCTATTTTTTTTTAATGTAAAAATGAATATTCAACCTATTTTACGTCAATACTGTTCGGATTTTCAAATCCAAACAAAACAATCTAGTTCGGCATAGAAAGGCCAAACAAGTTGACTTTTACTACAAGAAATTGCACTTTTGGCGACTAAATTTTTAGTCACCGAAATAGTTTCCCGACTAAATATTTTAGTCGCTGGATTTGTCGCGGGAAGATTGTCGGGGAAGGTATCAACGACTAAAAGAAATTTAGTTGCCAAAAGTCCTATAAAATGGTGACTAATGTTTTAATAGACAAAAGTAAAAGGTATTCACGACAAAATAGCTTTAGTCACTGATGAGGCAAATTTATTAGTCGCCCAAAAAGAAACTAATTTAATTTAAATCACATCTTCAGCTACTAAATTTTTTGTCGCCAAAACTTCAAACATCTATGGCGACCAAATTTTTAGTCCCCAATAGTGTTGTTTTAGCTACTAAATGTTTAGTTGCAGAAAATCCGATTTCTTGTTTAGCTACTACGCAGGTTGGTCAGCCAAAGTCTAAGTTTTTTTAGCTACCAAAGGTTTTGTCGCCTATGATATAATTATTATGTTTTTGGCGACTAAATATTTAGTCGTCAAAAGTGTCTTTCTTTTTAGCTACTACATAATTAGTCGCCTAAACTGTTTTCAATTCTTTTTGGCTACTAAATATTTAGTCGCCAAAAGATTTAATTCTTTTTTCGCTACTAACTTTTTATTCACTAAAAATATTTAACTCCATTTTTGGCTACCAATTGTTTTGTTGCCAAAAACATCATTTTATGTTTTTTATTTTTATTTTCATTTTAATAAATTTTTCCACAACCTATATGTATCCACCGCAACCTGTTATAGGTATACAAACAAAACAATATGTATATATTATCAGCTGTTCCATAACGCATATTTCAGTTACAATCATCAAACAAAAAAGAATACCTTTTAATGTAAACTTATATACAAACCAACTATATATATTCTAATTACAAATAATAACGTCATACATAACAAATACATTACCAAAAAATGTCCTCCGTACACAAAAAAGTTTTACTATACTATGCATTGTAATGACCATTTGGCATGGTACAAATTACCATGATAATATGTATCACGACAAAAGGTAACCTATATATACCACGGCAATAAATACAAGTTCCATGTCAAAAGTATTATGTACCCCGCCAAAAATTATATGTACGATTCATCCAAATTCCACACAAAAAGCAGAGGACGACAAAAAACTTCCCCACTGTTCAAAAGTGTGAATTATCTTCCGTACAAAAAAATGGAAGATCTACTTGTCAATGCCAAAAGCCATCTACAAAACAAAAATTACACACATTAGTTCCATTGTAAACAAAAATTACAGCCATCTACAAAACAAAAATTGCAAGGATGTCAATTGTAATTGAAATTGTATTTAAATATAGTTTGAAATAAGGACATAATGGTTAAAAAATTTTAACTTCTCAAACTAGGACACATAAAATGAATTTTCAAAAATGGGGAGTTGGACACATAAAATGAGATGGAGAGAATATTATAAAATTTTAATTATCACTTTTCTGGACAAAACATCTATTTTTCTTGCATCCTAATTTGCATTATTCTGAACAGAGAATAATGTTTTGGTGTTTCCCAGTTTTGAAGTCTTGTCAATTTTCAATTTTCCTCACAATACAATTGTCTCAATTAAATTAT